AAAAATCTGAAACAAAAAAATTGAGCCCAAATGCTAAAATTGTCCAAATATACCAATCAAATCTAGGAGAAATATTGAAACTTTGAAAGGGACAAGTAATGGAAATCTTTGGATTGTTCATAAGAAGACAAACGAGTCACGAAATAACAGAAAAAAAATAACTACATATAACTGATACAAGCACACAAGAAAATTGAAACCAAGGTGCTAAAAAGCTTGAAATTATCACATTCTAGGATAAAGATTGAATCTATAAAAGGTAAAAAAAAGTAAATGGTTACCTTTGGGATGTTCATAAGAAGAAGAAGAGGGGGACAAAGAGCCATGAATTGCAGATGAAGTGAACGCCAAAGCCATATTTTCAAACACAAAGAAAGATTTGTTTCAACAAAGAAACACTAAAAATTCTTCGTGAGATGAGAGTGGGTGTGCTGGGTGATAAGGAAAAAGAGAGGAAAAAAAAAGCAAAGAAAAAGAAAGAAAATAATTAGGCGGATCAAATAAATAGGGCCGGAATAGGTAAATGGGTAAAAATAAGACCCATATTTGATTCTTGGTCAATAATGCCACGTGGCCCAATTAAAAATCACCACGTCATTAAATGAAAGACCCATCCCTATCATTTGCTAAATGGTTTATAAATACCCTCCGTCCATCTATGCGTTCAAAAAAACACACTCCATCAGTTCTGCCGTTAGTCGCGAGGGTATTTTTGTTAATAGAATTAACTTCGTATTTTTTTTTTGGACGGATAGATGGACGGAGTGTATTTTTTTGAACGGATAGATGGACGGAGGGTATTTATAAACCATTTAGCAAACGATAGGGATAGTTTTGGCCCTTTTCCGTTTCTATTATTACACAACTTTTTGAGCTAAATTAGGAATGCTTTAGGAGAAACGTTTTCATCCTTTAAATTAGAATCGTTTTCTAGTTTAGCTAGTTGTAATAAAAAGAATTACAATAACTATTATTCCATATAATACTTCACGACACAATGGAATTTACTATAGTATTTTGGTTTCAACACCTTTTAGGAACAGTATAGTTTATATTTGTAATATTATGAAGCCACAAAATTAAATCTGGTCAATCAAAATAAAGTGGCATGTACTTTATATAGCAGTCACTTTTCATTCATCGCTTGGCTGAACCTCTTCCTCCTATCTTGATACAAGAAAAAGAATACAAGAACTTTGAACTGCTTATGAAACCAATTAAAAAAGGGAAAGGGCTTGAATACAAGAAATATGGAATGAATGCAGGTTTCTTGGGCCCAAGACTATAGTGCGGGATCGGGCAAGAGGCGAAGTGGACCCCAAATACTTGATCTGGTTTGGCAAAAGATTCCAGATTTTTGAAAGACCCGCAAAGAGGCCACATGTACAACAATTTACTGACGGGGCCTAGGTACAATGGGATTGGCTAGCCAAGGAAAAGGAATACCGGGCTAGAATAGGGAAGTTGGAGCAACAGGTCCAAGATCTTCAATTTGAAAAGAGTGTGCAAGCCGCAGCTGATGAGGGAGACAAAAAGAAATTAACTCAAGAAAATGAGGTTCTTAAAGCTCAAATCCAACAAATGAAAATAGCTGCTAAAAATCAAGAAAGAAGTCGGTCCGATGAGAGGTTGATAAACGGGCTGAAAAAGCAAGTCTTAGAGTGTCAGGAAGAGTTGGAGAAATCTGAGGTGAATATAGCAAAAATCCGGGCACAGTGGGCAAAGAAAACAGAGGAGAGGGTCCAATTTGTGCAGCAGATGAAAAGAAACTATGAAAGGACCATTACCAATCTGAGACGAAAAGTGAACACCCTTGAGGACGAGGCAGCCCAGTGGGACAAAGACTTCCAGGTTGAGAAGGAGCATTGCTATAGGCTAATGGCCGAGATGGAGAAAGAAATGAAGCTGTTGCAAGACCATCACTTCCACGATTCTCAGGTGTTAGAGGCCCGTAACCAGCAAATAAGCCGACTACTTCAGGAAAAGGGCCGGATCAGAGAAAGAATTAGAGCCATCGCGGATTATATTGCCATGAAATGTCAGGCAGGCGAAAGAATGAGTCGCACCACCTTCTTTGCTACGGTGATGATTTTTGTTCGTCAAGTTATGAATGATTTGGAGCAGCTACAAGGGGGTCTTGCACATCGGCCCGCGACGATGCTGAATGATGCCCCGCGGGCCCCAGGATTTGAAGCTTTAATGTATTCTTGACCCAGTTTTAGTCATCGAGTCTGTATTTTGTTATTTTTAGTCTATTTTGTAGTTTTCCTTTTCCAGAAAAAAAATATAGTTTAATATCTTTGTAATCGAAGTTTTATTAATGAAATTTGAAAATGCAAGAACACCAAGTTTCTGATTCATGATAAGTTAGTAAGGCAAATGATAAGTTGCTTAGTAAATTTTACAAAAAAAAAACTGTGAAGCTAAAGTAAGTGGATCTGACAAGAAATCAAACGTATATGGCTTGGAAAGGTAAAAGATCCATGCTATTTACCATAAAACCCACACTGATTTTCAACTAAGCGTATTGAACAGGGGACGTAATACGAAGTGCAGCAAAAAAAGATTAATTACCATGGGAACTGCTTTACTTTTTCCAAGAAAGACCAAAATAAAGTGACGCGTGTTATGCACATGTTTAGTACTTAAAGCAGCAGGGAGTCTTTGAAAAAGGTGTCAATGTTTTCGTCATTTTAGAACAAATGTACACACAAATAGTGTTGTATGTACAATGCAAAGCAATTTAGAATTACCAAAAAGCCCTTCGTCGTTGCCGGAAGCCAACGGAAACAAAAATATATTGTTTTGTTATTCACTGTGTTATCCTTTTGATTCTAATTGTAACATTGTATGAACTCTACCTGTGAGGATGGATTACTAATTTTTCAAATTCTTGGTCATTGTTTGTAAGTATCAAAGTGAAACATAAAAAGGGGTGTCATTGTTAATGACGATATCAACTTGAACATTTTATATTTGATTACCAACTAGCTCTGCATCAATACAAGGCATGCAGATCCGCAAAGTATTGGAGATCCACATGCCCATTCATTTTGCTGTTAGTTTTACAATTTTCATAAAAGTAACACTTATAGTTTCTACTTATTGAAAAAATGTACCTTCTATATGTGTAAGAAAGTGGTCTTTTTTGTGAAAACTTGAGGTTCTACCCCCGTTGCTTCCCTTGCTATAATAGTGACGGAAACACCATCTTTCTGTGCCTTTGATATGTTCTCATGTAGCACTTCTTGATATGTTGGTTTCTCTTGTAACGCAAGGTTGGTGGACGAGCTGCCTCCATTTATTTTTCTTGTATCTTCATTTCCTTTTTGCGCCAAATCACATCCTTTCGATCAACTTTCATCCAAATACGTTCATACACCTAAGAAACACGTAATAAGTATAAACCACTATAATAATCATGCAATCTTCAGCAAATCACACAATACGTAGGACGTAAACATACTTAAAATATATACTTTTTGAGTATATATTATCCAGGGTAACGGGAAGATTGACGAAGATGTCGCGCATCGCATTGGAGCAGGATGGATGAAGTGGAGGCTCGCTTCCGGTGTTTTGTGTGATAGGAATGTGCCGCTAAGACTTAAGGGTAAGTTTTATCGAGTGGTGGTTCGACCGGCTATGTTGTATGGGGCTGAGTGTCCGCCAATCAAGAACTCACACGTGCAGAAGTGAGAGTAGCAGAGATGAAGATGTTGAGATGGATGTGTGGGTGTACCAGGAGAGATAGGATTAAGAATGAAGCTATCCGGGACAGAGTGGGAGTAGCCTCCGCGGAGGACAAGATGCGGGAGTCGAGGCTGAGATGGTTCGGACATGTTAAGAGAAGAAGCATTGATGCTCCTGTTAGGAGGTGTGAGAGGTTGGCCATGGAGAGTTTGAGAAGAGGTCGAGGTAGGCCTAAGAAGTATTGGGGACAGGTGATTAGGCAGGACATGACTCTATTTTAGCTCACTAAGGACATGACCCTTTCCTTCATCTTCAGATGAAAGCAGAATCTGAAATACATTGAGATCGCCGAAAAAGACACACAAAACTAGGAGAAGGAAGCAGCACCCAGCTCGATGAATCTGATAGGAGGGTGTGGATGTCGAGTATTAAGGTTAGTAGGTAGTTTATAGCTGTTCATCGATAGTCTTAGTAGCATGCTTGTCCCTTCATATTCTTAGATTTTTATTACGTTATATGGTTTTGTTCGCTTCAGGTATTGTATTCCTTGTTGTTATTATTTGGTACCACTTATCATTTATCTCTCCCTTTTTTTTTATCTTCCATCTTTCTTCCTTCCTTGCTTTCCTCTTCTTCTTCTTGCCCTTCCTGAGCCGAGGGTCTATTGGAAATAGTCTCTCTACCTGCATTAGGTAGGGGTAAGGTCTCCGTATAGACTACCCTCCCCAGACCCCACCTGCTGGGAACAAACTGGGTTTGTTGTTGTTGCAATCACCATTCATTTAGACTAGAATCAAATGAAGGTTTTTTACTAACGCTTCTAGTATACTGACATCAGCGAATATCTTTCACAATTAAAAAAAAATTAAAGAATCTTTTGGAGATGTTATTTCTTATAAAGAGTGGATAAACCTAATTTTTCCCTTCAAAATAGGCTTGAATTATTCCAAATGTGTGAAATTGTTTTGATATCTACTTAGTGGTACAAAACTGAGATTATTACATTATAAGAATTTGTAAAAACACCTTAACCGTCAATATATGTTTCTTATAAAATATAATATAAACCTTAGTGAGGTTGAGTTACCAAGTATGTCTAGTAGTTGGAGTTAGCAGGTAACCGAGTGAATGATCAAGATACGTACAAAAACAAAACAAAAAACCAAAAAAAAAAAATTAAATAAATTCAAGGCCCTCTTATTAAGGTTTTGTTTTAGGCCACCAAGTCTGGAGCATAGTGAAAGTTCAGAATGAATACTAAATAAACAACAGAACACATTAAACACTACAAAGCAAGAGTATCCATGTTATCAATAAAATGAGATCATACTTGATATGTTATTGGTTTTCCCATATATTCATATTCATCTAGCAGTTGCTTTCCTTTCAAACCATACACTAGTTCCAAACATCTTTTCTAACCATAATCTAGCTCCAAAAATCCATAACAATAACATAGAAAATACTTTACACTTGATATACTGTAAATTTAGAATAATGTACAAGCACTGGAATAGTGAAACAACTAATTACATCATTATGCAGTTCAACAGTTATATTATCTCAGGCATTGATGAAATGGAATTTGCAGAAATGTCTTGTTCGGCAAGTGCAATCTTCAACTTTCAACATTCAGATCGCAGCTGCTTCAGCTTCCATGACTAATATAGGATCCCGCGAGTTATTCACATGGCTACTTCTGTAACCATATGAGACGGTCTTTCAAGCATTTTGCAGGTTCCATGATACCGCTGAGCCATCCAAATCCGAAAGATAATTGATTCGCTTGCAAGCTAATGAGGCGTTGCCTGTAAGGTATCAGTATGTTCCTGAGTCCTGCATTTAGGACAAACAACATTACCAAATCAGTCATCGATAGACGAATATAACTTAAATATGGAATAAATCTACGAAGCAATTCTTTGCACCTGAAATGCACATAGTCTTGTAAAGCAGAGCTGTATGAGGATCCCCTCGCGTACTCATGTGAGGCTTCTCCAAACACTCGAGGAATGCGAGGTCTGCCTTGAGAAGCTCAGCTTGGTCATGAGTATCATAGCCCATGTCATGACAATAACAGCAAAAATCCAACCAATCAATAGGTCTTCTGTCCCAAACCAAAGACCCTCCGTCTTTCCCACTTGACCAGTTTGGTCCACAATAATGACCATATCGAGGGAAAAACTGTGAAAGGAAAGCTCTTGGACCTGTATGCCAAGGAACTTTCGAGACATATGGTCTAAAACGTATGGTTGACGTCCGAGCTAGAGAGTCTACACTTTCACGAGATTGTCTGCGCCTTTTCAGCTTCTTGTTGACAGTTGTCGGCATCTGAATATTACCCTCAGATCCTTTGGCCCAAGGAACAAATGAAAACAGGGTCCATTTCCAAAACTTAGCATCAAACTGAGCCTTTTGGTTAGGTGCTTCCATTAGGGTACTAGTAGATACAACAGTTGACGCCATATCCTTCGCAGAGTGGGGTTTGAACGACAGGAAATTACTGAGAAATGAAAAATCCATTGCTAGATAGTGGAAGATGCTACCGATACACAACTTCAGCCACCAGAACTTGTATGTTCGGAGTACCTATATCCATACATAGCTGCATCAGATGCAGCAACAATTTCCAGTTGCAATTTTCAAAAGCAATGGACCTGGTTGCTAAGTACCAGATATAACAACAAACTAGAAGAAAGTATCTTTCAACCAATTCATAGAAAAGGGGAGGTTATTCCAGTTCATATGGAAAAGAGACCTCGTTTTCTTCTTCCTTCTTTCTCTTTGGTTGGAGAGAGAAGAAAGTCACTATTGTAGTAATACATCATTTATCCCCTTCTTGCAGACTATTATAAAGGAAGATATTTTGCCGTTGCATTGACTAAGGAAATTCGTAAAATCAAAAGCATTAGGTAACTACTAGTACAGTCCATTTCATTACAAAAAATTTACCAAAATAATATGTGCACTCAAATCACACTATAATAGTAATCTACACTTTATGAGTCATGCTCGAGCCAGAGGATTTGGAGAGAAACATCGAAAGTTCCATACTGGTTTAAATTCAAGCTGACCAAATACTTACATTATGGATTCAGCAAGCCAAGTGAATCATTTCTTGATTAATTAATAAGCAGTTAATCCTTTAAACAATTTTTCTTTAATGATACTTTAGATGAGTGATATGTACAATTAGCAAACCAAAGGCATTTACCTTTTTCTTTTTTTGCTTTTTATTTTTATGGGTAAAACTGCAAAGAAATTGTGCTAAAAAAGAGGCAAGAAGGGGGTGCCGACACTGTACATGGACGGTAAAAAGGAAGCAGTGTAGTTGCTCAACAGCTTCAAGCTCCTTTAGACAACCAGCAAAACTAAAGTTTTCCGCAGGTTTTCATTCTTGACACACCAAAACAATTTAGTCAAATAAAGGGTTAATAAATTGGTGTATGTTCATATAGGCTTCTGTAGAACTCAAGGAAACAGGGATAGAGTCTATAGAACAAATTCTGTTCAAGTTAGGTCGTTAGATTAATACAAGATTCTAGAAACATTCTTCTGTTCCTTTCCTTCCGATTTCACCAAAATAAGCAACAAGGATCATGCACCACATACCTATCCCCAAATTCCACCGTAGCAGTAGTTTCTCCACTTCATGCTTTCCTTTATTTTCATGTTCCTTCCCAACTATACACTTTTAAAGCCTTTCCTTCTCAACCAAAATTATTTTATATTCTTTAGATTTTCACCATAGACAATAATTCCGAAACTAAAATGCATTTTAAATATAGCTTGTTGGCTCTTGCAGATACAATGGTACAGTCTAAATATCTTTAAGAGAAGAGAATGCACAAAATTGGGAGGTCGAAAGTGAGTCCACGTACTACGTAATGCGTTGGCCATGGGTAACCAGTTAAAGGGCAAAAAGGAGCCAAGGGGAGGGGGCTCAGCATAAGTTGTGTAACCGCCTCACCTTATTAACAAAAGTTGTGTAACCACCTCAGATTCCCGGAAGATTGAGGTTTTGCTTAATTTGTCTTTTCTAGGTAAGATATAGAGAAATGCTATACTTTATGATCAAATCTTCCCACACAAAGGATATATATCTTGCTACAAGATGATGATGAATACTAACCCACTAGGTCATTCCATCTTATATTTGATGTTGATTCATCCCTATAGTATGAGTGACAAGGTGTATAGCAACGAATGAAGGAGCAAATCCATTAAGTTAAAGCTTGAATGTAGCCAATCTTAAGTGTTTCCATCAGACTTTTGGTTGACAATATGCCTCTACATGATTTTTTTTCATATGAGGCCTTTACACGATCAAAAACCTTCTGGTTGGAGATTTTTCAAAAGAAATGCATAAATTTTGTTGAAAGGTATACCTCATTCGATGACATGGAGAAGCCCCAAAGGTGCATCTTTTCACATCTTACTAAGATTGTGTCAACAGCTATTCGGGCGACCAAAATCCCTCAAGAAAGTCCAAGTCTTGCACGGGCTTCTCTTCAACATTTCTCACTATTTACATTTAACGAAAAGGCAGAGAATGCTTAATGAAAAGACTCAACTACTGACTTTTGCATTGTGAAGTTGATGCTTCAAAGTAGGGAATTACGTTCCCTTCATCTGGATGCACTTGATTATACCTAACTTGGTCGGATCCTTACTATTGCATTTTCATAGATGCTTTTTCAGCTACTTTGAGAAATACTACTCTTTTTGCAACGAAAATGAGGTCTTATCCATTGGGAGACTTTAAACTTCTTATGAACTTACTTTTGGTTAGACCCCACTGCTTTGGTTCAACGGCAAGGTAGTAGATGTTATAGGCATAGGTCATCTTGAGTTCGAGCGAACCAACTTCGATATTTAAGTGAAGAATGGTAGAGGGATGAACCTATTATCCACCAAGTTACAATGCCGGAAACATACTTCTTGGTTATCTAAGGGAAAAAGGGGAACTTACTTTTCTTTATGTAAAAAGATCAGCGAATCAACCAGTCTTATATCCCAATATGAATCCTCAATAACATTACACACCACTGCCTTGATAGGCACGTCCCGGATTCACCATTCAAGGAATTCATCACAGTTATACTATTTTTATGCTGCCCACGACCTACTGCAACCCTCCTCTTTTATTCATGCTTGAAACTGGCTATACTTTGAGAAACTCAAGCTGACGGATGTTGGTTGTGTAAAAAATGATATGACAAAAACTTTAACCCTTCACCTAACCTAAATGTCTAAGTATATTTCATATTCCATATTTTACATGGATTTCAATTAGTAGTACTATATAGATTAATCTACGATTCATGTGACTACTGATTAAAACAAAATATAGTTCATGTCAGTTAAAGATGCCAGAGCAGGCCACTAGCAAGTTCATATAATAATCAAGACATGTATAGCTATCAAGGTAGGGGTGATCCTGCACAGTTGCAGATGTGGTAGTAAATGCGATATGACCACCGAACGAAGGCCCCCCCCCCCCCCCAACAACCCTCTTAACCAGAAGTCTTGAATTCGAATCTAGGAATGAATCCATTCCCATTCGATAGTTTAGTTGGTTTCGGATACCAGATGCTATACATAAAAAAAGATGCCAAGGACTAATAAAAATACCTCTTTCTCTAGGACAGTAAAAGAGGAACAGAACACACTATATAGAGTCATAGACGAAATATAGGTACTCTTAGGCCTCATTTGTTTGCACTTAATGGAGGTCTGAATCTTAATCATTCCGATCTCAAACATTAAGTGCGTTTGTTTTTAAAATCTGAATCTTAATTATTCAGATCTTAATCATTAAGTGTATTTGTTTTTTTACTTCACAACCACTTAATGGGTCTGAATAGGTCTGTATGATTAAGATCTATATCAGCATCTTAATTTCATTAAAATGCTATCACATATTCATTATTAACTGCCGCCACCGCCTACCATTATCAACTACCACCATGCCACCACCACTACCATACTCAACCACCACCACCACCACCACCACCATCATCCTCAATCATAGCCGCCACCATTATCAACCATCACCACCCACTATCCCCACCACTCCGACCACCATCATTCTCAACCACAATCAACACTCATCCACCTCAACTACCACAACTGACCACCCCATCACCATTAACAACCATTGCCTGTAATGCCCATCTTATAACCTACCACCACCCACCCACCACCTTCCTCAGTCACAACTATTACCACCACCCGCCATTATTAACTATCATCACCCACCACCACCATCCTCAATCATAATCGCCACCACTACCAATCACTACTAACTACTAGCATGAACCACCATCATCAACCAAAACTACCACCAACCACCGCCTCTAGTCGACATTTACCCGTTAGCCATCACCACCAACAACTATCATATTTTGAAAAACTATATATTTTATTGATAAAATATTAGATTAGTTAGTATTTTATTTGAATTTTATGTTTATTAATTTTCAAATAAAGATAAATTTTATACATTCAAATGTTAAAAATCAAACATTCTTAATTATTTCTATTCAGATCTTAATATTCAGATTCAGATGTCTTAATCTTAATGCACATCTTCATATTCAGATGTGTATTCAGATTTAATGATTCTTTTTACATATCACTGAATTTCAAGAAATTTACATGATATACCTAATAAGTGACCTGATTGTGTAATTTTTCATACACTATCATCGCATAGTACTTAAGCTCTTATAAATATGGGTCTCTATATTGCACCCAAGGGTGTGGCCTAATAGTCAATTAAGTGGGCGAGAACCATGAGATTTCAGGTTCAAATCCCAGCAGAGGCAAAAAACACTAGGTGATTTCTTCCCATCTATCCAAGCCTTGGTAGATAGAGTTACCTGGTACCTGTTGCTGGTGGGAGGTGACAGGTATCCCATGGAATTAGTCGAGGTGCATGGCCCGAACACCATCGTTATAAAAAAAAAAACGTCTCTATATTCTTTTATTTCCAGCAAGAACAACAACCCCAGTATAATCTCACAAAGTGGGGTTTGAAGAGGGTGGACCGGTGGAGTGTACGCGTACCTTATCTGCCTTATGAAGGTAAAGAGAATGTTTCCGAAAGATCCCGGCTCATATTTCCATTACCCAAAATTGACCATAAAAACAAGTTTCTTTTTCCATTTCTCTTCTTTTCTTCTTCTCTCCCACTACCCACCGCCTCACCATAAATCAAGAACCAGTAAAACCCAACATGCTAAAAGAGAATACAAATTCAATAACAGAATCACAATAGAAACATATAAGTTGAATATTATAAAAAGACAGACTTTGCACTGAAAGTGAACAGGTCAAAACATAAAGCTAATACCTTCTACAGTTTAATACCCAAAAAAAAGAATGTTAAACTAAAGAAAACAAGATTCAGTATAGTTGAGAGGACAAAGTACCTTAGAATCTTCATTGATTAGCAGTTCTGCACAAAAATGGGTTCATCTGGTGTGTGTGTGAGGGGTGGGGTGGGNCTTTGGTTGGAGATTATTGCTGGTCTGCTTCTAATTATTGTTTGGCTGTGGGAAAATGTGACGCTGAGATGGAATTTCGAAGGTTCTAGCTGCTTAACACGTGTGGTGGGTCCCACTAGTTTTTTATTTTTATATTATACTCCCTTAGGTCCACTTTAATTAATTTTTGGTTGTTTTCACACATATTTGTTAGCATTAATTAACAATAAAATTGATAGTATTAACTTTAATTTGTTCGTTAGAAATATAACAAATACTTCTAGGCTCTTTACTTCAAGGGCAACTTTAGAAAAAAAAATTAATTCGTTTTTTATATCTAAAAGAATTAAATATTGTGTACCATAAAAAAATACCAATATATTAATTAAGTGGACCGGAAAGAGTAGTTATTTTGTATTGTATTGAATATTGATTGATGCAATTAATTTGAATTCACACAGAAATGCACAAATAACCTTTTTTAGGATCTTTACTTAAAGAATAACTTAAATTTACAAAGGTTTACAGTTTAAGTATTTACAGCTTGTTTGGATGTTGCTCCCCGTTGTATTGTATTATATTGTTATTCCAAAATAATGTTTAATGTGATTGTTTCATTAAAATTGATTGTATTGTATTGTTAAATTCATTGTTCCGGAATAATAAAAAGTCCCCTTTTTCGAACCAACCGATTTGGTGTGGTGGGATTGTTTCCTATTTTCTTTCCAATTATGCCCTAACTTATTACTCCACAATTATATTTTATCTTTTAGTTTTTTTGCTATTTTAACTCCAAATCTCCAACCTATAACCTACTTTATTTTTTTCCAGAATTTCTGCCGCCAACGTTAAAGGTGTTTTACCGCCTTCTGTTTTATTTTTTCTCCTAATTTGCTTTTAACTCAATTATAATTAGTCGCGTTCCTTTGTGTTGCCTTCTTCTGTTTTGTTTTTTAAAATTATTTTTATGCATAATATTTGATAAATTTAATATTTAAACAATTGCGTGTATTTTAATAAACTTATCAGTTATAATACAGTACGATACAGTCAGACCAAACAGAAAAATATTATTTAACAATAACAAACAATACAATCTATTTGAATATTATATTTATAAAACGATACGATACAATACAATACAATACATTATAAAACGACGGGGAACAATGATCCAAACAGAGTGTTTAAGAAGTTGAGCAGATATTTGTCAAAACTGGTTAAACTTTATATAATATTTAAAATTGAATATATTTTATGTAAAAGCGCTCAAAATGGCTACCTAATGTCATTTTTATCTGCATTCTTGAAAAGATTCTCATTTCAAAATAAAATTGTACCTTGTCTCAAATGAATACGTAACACTTTTATTTGTTTAAATAGGTTAAATAATTTTTTCTTTGACTCTTTTTCGTCCTTTTGAATAAATGTATGAAAAAAGATTTGTACATGATTTTGAATATAAACTTTTTTTCTTAAAAAATAATAAATTGATGTCCGGAAGTCATATTTAAATTTAGATTAGTTGGCTATGGTACATGTACTTGCTATTTATTTCTGAAAAAGAATACTGTAGTATTTATGCCAAACTTTAAATGATACACGTTCTTCTTTAACAATAGAATGTAGGTCAAATTTGGAGTCAAATTCCTATGTTGAAGCTAATTGTGAGATACTTTAGTTTAAGACTAGTCATAGGAAATTGACTCAACCATCTCCAAAATAAATAGGTTAATTAATGAGAACCAAGTTGCTCATAAGACAAGTTATTTTATATGTTTTACTGTCTGATACCCTTTGTTAAGTTTTGTTTTAGTCTGTTTTAGATCAAAATATAGATAGAAAATATGAATATCCATAATATTCATTGTCGACCAGTTTGTTATGTATCAAAGGACGGGCTCGACTTTATCTATTTTTTGTCTAATTTATTTTTTACTTGCCCATATCCGATACGTCCGTATGTCAACATTATACTGTCTATACAATCAAGGGAAAAAATTCAGCTGCTTCAATGCTTCTTTCCATTTGCTTTGATTCTTCCCTCGTACATGGACATGTTGGACCATCTCCCTGCAAATCTACTGCTCATCATACTTCTTCTGCTCAAATCTGCTTCTGTTTCTCTCCCTCCATATCACAACAACCATCATAGCAAAAATACAGCAAGTGATGCCATTAATACCTTTTCTGCTCTTTGCTATAGTACTGATCCACTTCAATTCACACTCCCAGTCCCCTATTTTCCTTGTATACCCCAGCCATTTACACATTTTAGCCCATAGTCTGCTTGTGATCGAGCATTCAAAGTATAAATTGTTAAAAGTTTCCTTTGCCTGTTTACAGAAAGTGCACTCAGCTGGGACAGTGATGCCTATCTTCATCAATCTTTCCACAGTTGCTAATCTTCTTTGCATTGCAAGCCATAAGATAAACCTGAACCTTGGATGTAGCATTACTCCTCCCCGCGCAACTTTGCTGTATTCTGACACCATTTTCTTGTATAAGTTCTGTATTTTGAATTTGCCATTGCTGCATACACTAGCTAATCTTTGAGTCAAATCACCTTGCAATTGTGTCTGCTGCATTATCTCCTCTTTTCTGTCGAAAATCTTCCTGATAACCCATGCTGATGCCTTAGGAGTATTCATTTGTTCCAGCTCCTTCTTTTTTATGTAAAAACTGTGTACCCATCTTATCCACAAGCAATAAGATCCCACAAGTGCTTTGTGACTGCAGCTTTATTTCACACTTTATTGTCCAATATATTCAGTCCCCCAGCAACTATTGGTTTGCACACATTGTCCCAAGCTATTAGAGCCTTCCTGGAGACTGTTACATTTCCAGTCCAGAGGTATGTTCTGCATATTGTCTCTATTATTTTCAGCACTTTTTTTTGGGAATATGAACACCTGTGCCCAATATGTTTGAATGCCAAAGAGCACTGATTTTATCAACTGGCATCTCCCTGCATAAGATAATAATCTTGCTGACCAACAGGTAATTCTTACTGTGATCTTTTCTATCAGTGGCAAGTACTGTCCTATATTCAGCTTTTTAGAGTCCAATGGCACTCCCAGATACCTAAATGGTAATTTGCCTTCAGTGAACCCCAGTGTCTGTAGAATATCATCATTTTCCTTCTGAGTCACACCAGCCATGTATATAGCACTTTTGCATATGTTTGCCTGCAATCCAGATGCTTTGGAAAATCTTTGAAATGCTTCATTCATAATTTGAATAGAAATCATATCAGCTTGACAGTATATCAGTAAGTCATCAGCAAAGCATACATGTGTACTATTCAGTTTTCTGCATTTAGGGTGATAATTGAAGTCTCCATTCCTGTACAGTTGCTTTAGCTCTCTACTCAAATATTCCATTGCTATAACAAACAAGTAAGGGGACATAGGATCACCTTGCCTAATCCCTCTTTTCCCTTTAAAAGGTTTAGTCAATCCTCCATTGAGCACCAGTGAGTAAGAGACTGTGGTAATACAAGCCATGATCCATGTGATAAATTTATAAGGAAATCCCATGTCAATCAGTATTTGCTTCAGAAACCTCCACTCCAATGTATCATATGTTTTTCTCAAGTCTATTTTCATCACACATCTTGGTGATACTCCTTTTCTAGCATATCCTTTGAACAACTCATGGCTTAGCAGAATGTTATCCACTATGCTTCTACCTTCTATAAATGCAGACTGTGCGTGGTCTATCAATCCATTCAGCACTCCTTTGATTCTCCTTGTAAGTACCTTTGAAATGATCTTATACAAAGTAGTACAACGAGCTATAGGTCTGTAATCTTTGACTGTTGCTGGAATTTTTACCTTTGGCACTAGAGTGATGGCTGTTGTATTGATCATCTGAGGCAGTCTGTTAGTTTCAAAGAAGTTCTGCACTGCTTCAAAGATATCTCCCTTTACAATTTCCCAGTTTCTTGTGAAAAACTCCACAGGAACCCCATCAACCCTTGGTGCTTTATCCTTTGGCATATCCTTAATAGCCTCCATTATCTCCTCATTTGTCACTGGCTGAATCAATGATCTTTGTTGCTCCAATGTTAAAATAGTCCCTCTTTTATCACTGCTGTATTAGCACATGGAAATTCAGTAGCACAATCACCCATTAAGGACTGGAACACCTCTATGAATTCTCCTTCAACTAGCTTTGCATCTGTTATTTTCATAATTGTATCAGTGTATATGGATATGATATTGTTCTGACTGGATCTGATTTTCCATTGAGCATGGAAATATGTCACGACCCGGATTTTCCACCATCGGGATCGTGATGGCGCCTACTCGTGGTAGCTAGGCAAGCCAACTTATTTACCTTTCATTAATAATTAAATCTGTTAACAATCTTTAGCATCTAAAAGAAATGTGGAATTTGATAATAACAATAGCGGAAGTCTAATTTATAAGTCTGAATCAAAACGCGGAATAGTCAACAATAGTCTCTACCCAAGATTTGGTGTCACATTACTCACGAACCACTAAGAATAAACTAAATACAAAGGTCTAAAAGAAATATAATAGCTGTCTGTCTCGAAAACAATGAGGCAACAGTCAAAAGGAAACATAAAGAAGAGACGTCGGGCCTGCGGACGCCTGCAAGGCTACCTCAGTCTCGTGATATGAAAGCCTGCTCCCTTACTGCTGCTGCTGCTGCTCCTCAAAACCTGGACCTGTGCAAAAATGCACAGAAGTATAGCATCAACACAACCGACCTCATGTGCTGGTAAGTGTCTAGCCTAACCCCGGCGAAGTAGTGACGAGGCTAGACTGGACATCACATAAACCTGTGCAGATATAAATATACAGCGAAAATCGAATACCAAGTAGTTAACAACATGGGAGGGGAGACATGCTAAGGGGAGATACAATATTAACAGCAATCAAGAGTAACAACTAAAACAACTTAGGTTCACAATGAACAAGGAATCAATACTCAAATACAAACACATAGCCTCAATAACTGTTGCGGCGTGCAACCCGCTCCATAATCACTA